ATCATGCCTTGGGAGGTGGTGGTGGTGCTAATTGTATAGCTCTTGTTGCAGAGTGTTCTAGCTGAGGCCCAAACACAGACTGAAGTCTCAACACCTCTGTCCAACTTGCAGCTCAACCCAAGGAAGATGTACTTCTGAAATAATCTGCATATGTGAAAAATCATATTCTGAAATTTCATCCACTAAATCCAGTGCCTCAGGTTAGTGGCCACTCTGAACCCACCTCAATTTTCTCAGCTCTCAGAGGATGAACTATTATTCCTTTTGACTCATACTCTTGTTGAAAATATAAATGTGTGCATATTTGTAAATATTCCAGTGCTGTATCCTGAATTTTACAGAAAAACACACAAGGAAATTTATAATTTTGCTACTGTCGCAAAGTATGACTAATATAAATTAAAAGGTACAAGGGGACTGTACAGTGACCAGGGAGAACATTACACTTTGGATGCCCACTAATTATCTTCTTTCCTGTGACTAAACCAAGACAAGCATGCATCCTGTAGAGAAAATAGTGTGTCATTAATTAAAATCATATCAGGTTAATGCATGAAGGAGACATTAAATAAGACTACACAGACTTAATTAACCTGGACCCCATTTTTCGTGTCTTTGACTTTATAACTTCAGTAATATTTTAGCATGGTACCTGTATGTGTGCCTTTGCATTGATTATATCCTAATTAACTTGTTCTGAAGTAATAAAAGATTTCCTCCAAAAAAATAATAATCAAAACAAACTGGAGTTTAATACTTCAAACTACCTTGGAACAGAAAAGTGTTAGAGGAATTAAAAATGCCCTCCAAATATGTAAATGCTGTCACTTCAAAGTTACTTCATCTTCTTCTTTACCCTTCAAGCTCCAAGTACATTCTACCCTGGGGAAAACCCTGTGGAAACTGGGCCTCAGGAAAAAGTTGAAAATTAGGCTATGAACTTAGAGGAAATCTCATGACAACTTTGAAGTGTGTAACCATGATTCATTGGAATAAGTACCTGTAATTCTCCCTTTGGGAAGTGGATGGACTTCTACACGTTGCTTGAGAGTGCGTGATGAGGCCAGTCCTAAGGGGAAGCACATTATTAACAGGAAAATAATATTGCTAACGGAGAGAGCCTCTAACAGCCTTCCACGGAGCAGCCAATTTTGGGTGATGGGGCTTTTTGAAAAATGATTAAGTCAGAAGCAGTTTTGCCTGCTGATGAATTTGTGAGTACAAGAGATGGTCCTTTATTTCCTGTGGTAGGCAACATTTCAATCCTATGTAGTAGCTACAGCTTTTCTTCAAATAAAAATTATAAATCAACTTGGTGTTTCAGTTCCTTTATGGAAAATCCATTCTGTTTTGTGGCTGTTGCAATCAGTTGCTTGTAGTTTGTCCAGCAAGAAGCCATAAACCACATGACCATGTCATGGGGCACCTATTCCACTGGACTTTCTTGGCAGGAGTCCCCATGTCACGTTTGCTGTGGTAGGCGTACTACTGATAATTTCAGTAAGAAGAATGAGCTTCTTAAGTATACATTTTTAATAATTTTATTTTTTTTTTCCTTCCCCCTGGTTCTTGCTGTTTCTTAGTCTATCATTATCATTCTTTCCTGAAAATTATTAATACTTTGAGGTGGCTCAAGTGGTGAGTCCACATTTTCATCATCCCTCCAAGATCTGCAGCTTAGTGAATTCTTATCAATTTTGCAAAAGGCAGCTGCATTAAAATGGCTTTGTTGCTCAGATAAGAAAAAAGCAAATACAAGTGCAGTTAGATGTACAAATGAACTATGTCCTGGAGCAAGAAGACCTGTGAAAGAGCACAGTCCCCAAAATATGCATCGGGGAGAAGAGTGATACAGGTGTGCTCAGATACAGGTGGCAAGCAATTCTGCTCCTGGGAAGGAAAAGATGGCATGCTGGGCCAGTTTGAACAGTGAGGTAATTTTATTCCCTTGCAAATAAATGCCTTGGGAAAAAGTAGAGGCTGCGTGCCAAGAGGCTATTGATCATGTTGCTAAATAAAGTAGTAGCCTCACTTCATGGGAGGTTCTTCTAGAAGCGCCTGCTAAGCACTGATGAGGAAAGGACTGGAGCCATCCCAGCACACCAGCCTAGCACAACACATGCACAGCAGCAAATGGAGGCCATGTTCAATACCAGCCCCTGAGCCAGCAGCTCCCAAATCACCACATGTGGAGACACTGGGGGGCATTTCCCTAGTTTGGCGAGACACTAGAAGCTTCCCTCAAAAAGCTGTTAGATCCCGTTTGCTCCTTTCCCTGTTCCCGCGTCCCTGGGCCACTACCTCCCTATTCCCTGACTGGTCCTCATCTTTGTACTGTCCAGAGACCAGGTTCACCCCTCCGGACGGGGGAGAGCTGGGAGACAGAGCTGGGGATGGGTGTACTGGGGGAATCTCTCTACATCTCAAGGAGCGGCTGAATCAAACATCTGTGGATACCATGCAAAGGTCTTTTCTGCTTCTTTACCCTGGACTTGTAGCAGTTCAGACTGCTACAACCACCCATCAGAAGGGACAGGTGGAGCTGAAGGGCCATCACACAGCAGTCCAAAGACATGTGGGGAAAAGTGGCGTGACGGGACGGACTTACCTGCTGTCTCCTTCCTCAGGAAAACAAGCAGGGCTGCTGGGGAGTTCCCAGCTAAAGAGCCTAATCGCCGGATGAGTGGGATGGGGTCAGTCAGCAAAAATGCTGCTGTTTCTTATTGGGATCATAGGAATGAGAGAATAATGCTGTGGAGTGGCTCAAGCAGTGAGTCCACATTTTCATCTTCTGTCCAAGATTCCATCGCTTGTCCTTGATATTACGGAATAGAACGAGCCACTGTGTTTCTGTCCTCTATGCTATCAATAATGTCCCTAAGTGACTTAGATAAAATGGCAATGGGATTCCATCCTGTGATAAATGGATATGATTCATGCTAACTAAATTGTCACTATACCAGTATTTTAGAAAATAATTGTTATAAAGTAGTAATGGAAAAGTGTATGTGATTAGTGTTACAAAGCGGATGGGCCCCTGTGCAGATGTTACATGTGAAAAATAGGATACAGGATGCAGTATTGAGATAAGCAAGATCCCAAAACAATCAGTTTTGGGATGAACAGAGTTGGGACAATTCCAGATATGGAATCTAAGTTGTGGTCTCATCTATGAAATAATAAGGCTTATTTTTGGAGCATAATGCTTACTTACATAGCAAAAAGCTTAGTGCACATGTGCAACCTGTAAGGTTATTCAGAGGACAGCGAGGAAGACAGCAAGCCTTCCTCTGAAAGACCACCAAAAAGCCTGGAGACCCCCTAACAACAAGAGGAGCATGTACCATGCAGTGTAGTGACATAGATTTCAAGAATCAAAAATAGGAGGAGATTTACAGAAAAATATTGATGAATATGTATTAGCATACAGTATATAAGTTTAGTTTGGATTCCTTTGTTTCATATGTGAAGCAGGGTGAGACGCCCTCCCTGTACCCCGGTTGGTTTTGTGTATGCTTTATACGAGCCTTAATCACAATTGCTCAAATAATCAACTGTTAGAAACACGAACAGTGCAAAATGGATAAGTTCTGGAGCAACTTAGTGCAAACATATTACTGTTCTGAAGACCAACAATACTTCTATAGCCATCATCCACCTGCATCTTTATTGACTAGATACCCCGGAGTCAGTCTTGCTGCAGTTTCTAATCTATGATGAAGGTAAGAGGAGGGTTTTACAGAGGTGCTGGAGGGGCTAGGATGGCTGGCACTATCTTGGTAGTCCCTGAGTATCCTTTATCTGTCATGAATGGCTTTGAGGATCTGAGGAACAAAGGTCCTGTTCCTCGCTGTTAGCTGGGGTCCTTTGGTCATGCTCACCCCACCATGGATACTGATGCTTACTTAAGCCAGACTGTGCAGTATGACATAACCACACACATCTAAAGAAAGTGAATACCTTACTATTTAGAAAATTAATACACTTTCATATTACAAAGACTATTTGGTACAATAGTTAATGAATGAGATCTTCCTGATTAGCTGGGGGCCGGAGGCCTAACAGGAGAGAGGCAAAGCCAAAAATACCCTCTGCTGTCCAGCTGCAGCCCAAAAAGCAGCTGGATATGGGTTATCTCCCCATTGGATTGACAGGCTTTCCGCTTCTCAGAGCAGTTTGTTTACAGCTGTGTCTAAATAAACGTTGCCTAACTTTATTTTTTTTTCCCGCTCCTGTTATTCCTGCGGAGCAAGTTGGATTCCTCTCTGACTCACGCATGATTAACTAACTTCCAGCTGCATTATCTTTATTGTTGCTGCCGATGCACAAGCCAGCGCTCAGCACGACCCGTGGATCCCAAGCTGTGCTGGCGAGGCTGCCACTTACAGAAAAGGATTTTTTTTCTAACAGTTGTGGTGTTTGGGAAATGTTATTATTTTTTTTTTATTTGTGTATTTATTTATTTAAGAGACAGCAAGTACCTGCTGTGTCGGGGACCAGAGAAACGAAAAGAAACAACCGATAACGCTCCGCGACCCCACGGAGCGGTGCTGCTGGTGGAGAGGCCGCGCCCGGCGGCGGGGGTGCACCGAGGGGGTCCGGGCACACGGCGGGACGGGAGGCGATGGGACGGGAGGGTCCGGGAGCCCCGGCGAGGAAGCGGTTAACGCCGGGCACCCGGATACGGGAAGGAAGAGGCTGAGCTCGGCAGGAGCCGCACGGCGGAAGCTCATCCGACCCCGCTCCCGCTGGGAGCCGCCGCCGCCGCCGGACCGGGCGCACGTGCGGGCGCGGCGGCGCAGGGGCACGTGCGGGGCGGGCACGTGCGGCACCGGCACCGGGCAGCGGCGGCCGGACGGGCGGGCACGGAGGGAGGGGTGGAGGAGGGAAGAGGCGCTCCCGCCGCGCCACCGCTGACCCCGGGGAAGGCGGGCGGTCTGCCGGCCTCGGGTGCTTTTACCCAGCCACTCGCCCCTTACATAAGCCGGGAGCCGGTCCGCCCCCCGCCATTCCCGTCGTCGTCCCCTGTTCCCCCTTCCCCCTCCCGGGAGCCGCCCCCCTGCTGCAGCGATGTGACACGCCCCCTCTCCATCCCTCCCTCCCTCCCTCCCTTCCGTCGCCGTCCCCTCCCAGGAAGAAGCCGGAGTCGGCAGCGCCGCGAGCCCAGCATGGAGTAGGGCGGCCCGGGGCCGGCGGCGCCGCGCGGGCATGGAGCTGGGCCCGGGGCCCTGCGCGCTGCCGCCCGCCGCCGGGGCCGGGGCGAGGGCGGCGGCGGCAGGGGGACCCTGCGCCGAGATGCTGCAGGTGGCGGAGGAGGCCTTCCGCGGCGGCAACTTCGAGCTGGCGGCCGAGATCTACGGCTCCGAGCTGGCGGGGCTGCCGCAGCCCGAGCGGGGCCTGTGCCTCCGTCGCGCTGATGCGTTGGCCAGGGCCGGCCGCATGGCCGAGGCGCTGGACGCCTACGGCGCGGCGGCGCGGCTGGCGCGGCTGCGGCCCGAGGAGCTGCGGGAGCTGGCGGAGAGCGTCGCCCTCAGCATCCGCGACAAGGAGCTGCGCCTCCCGCCCTGGGGGAGCGGCGCGGCCGGCGGCGGCGGGGCGGAGGGTGAGGGTCTGGGCGACCCGGCGTGCTGCCGCCCGCCCGAGCTGTTCGCCTGCCCGCTGTGCCGGCGGCTGCTGTGCGAGCCGGTGACCCTGCACTGCGGGCACACCCACTGCCGCCGCTGCGCCGAGCCCGGCGACTGCGGCCGCTGCCACCGCCCGCGCCGCCCGGCCGAGCCGAGCCCTGCCGCCGCCGCGCTGCCGCCGGCCGCCGGCCGCCCGCGGGTCAACGTGGTGCTGGGCAACCTGCTGCACAAGTGGTTCGGTGCCGAGAGCCGGGCGCGGCGGCTCCGCGCCGAGGGCGACGCGCTGCGGGAGCGCCAGGAGCTGCCGGCCGCCCTGGAGAAGTACAACCAGGCCCTGGAGATGGGTAAGTGGCGCCGGCGGGGAGGAGGAGGAGGGGGCGCGGCGGGGGCAGCGCTGCCCGCCGGCACCGGGCTGGCCCCCGCAGCCGGGCGGGGAGGGGGCGCGGCGGTGAGTGGTGGGAGAGGGCGCCTGGGGGAGGCTACGAGCGGGAATCCTGCCAGCGGGTCTCCTCACGCCCGCCCCCCGCTCCAGTGAATGGCTATTTTTGTTCCACTGGTATTTTTGTCCTTGCTCTGAAGGTGCTTGGCGTTTAGCTGTTCGCTGCCGATGACTCATTATGCAGTATTTCTAGAAAACCCGCTTTCCTATTTATGGGGAAGCCATCATTCAGTGTAGAATACGCAGTAGTGGTCGTGTTGAGCCGCGCCGCGGCTTCGTGGAAGGAGTGAGTATGTGGATCAGATTCATTCAGCTACGTGCAGCTGCACCTTCAGCAAGATAAAAGCTTTGAAAACACCTAATGAGATATCAGTTGGTGTAAAGGCTCCGGAAATTTCCTTTATCTTGCACTGTGCAAAATACTCAAGATTATCTACATTTAGCCTTGGAGAGATGGTCCACTCTTGTGGACCAAGAGTGTTTTGAGCGTAGCCTCTTTGTTGACATGCAGGATTTCTGTGTGCAGGGTGTTCTCTGAAGAGCTTGGCTTTAAATAAAAATGCCTGCCTTCGTACTCTGCCAAACCGATGGCAGCCTTATTTTATCAAAACTAGCTTGTTTTCAGGTTCTGCGCCGAGTAGTAGGTGGATCCTGTTCGCTCGGTTGTAGCCTTGTAGTAGTGGATGTGTGCGTGCGTGCGCCCGACTTGTTTGCCCTGCTAGCGGTGGGGGTGGTACCGCACCGTGGATGTCTGAGAGGCGTGGAGCCGGGAGAGCCGCGATCTCGGCAAATCCCCCGGGATCTGCCTCCCCTCCGGTCTCAGCGTGACGGATGTCTGGTTTAATCGAGGAGGAAGGGGGGAAAAAGCCTCCGTCGTTTTAACACTGACGAAATCCTGCGGGTAAATGTCTTTGAAAAACAAGTGTAGGGAAAACTCTGCCGCTCCTCTGTCAATGAGCTCCTTCCGTGCATTGACTAAAAATCGACTTCCTTGATCCTTGCTGTTACATGCAGGGATTCATGGCTCTGATTTCTTTACATTTCTTTTGCCGTGGAGAGAAAAAATTTCACCGTTATTCCAGTCCTTGACTCACTTTCATTTTTTTGCCACGATTTAATTACAGGCATTGGAGATAGAAGAGTTTGGGATGGCATAGCATAACATATTATCTCCTCACAGCTGATGCTGGCTGTGGAAACCATTACTTCCACAGTTTCTTCCACTTTTCCAGCTAGATGTGACAAGTTTTCAATCCTGAGTGTCTCTATAAAACTATTACGTAGTTTAGCTGAAGTAATCCCTATTAAAGTAGGGCAGGATGGAGCCCAAGAAGGAAGGTGAAGCAGAGGTAGAGGAGAGGCTTAATGTAGGTCACTGGTGGATATGGTCAGTTTTCAGTAGGGAAGCATCCTAATATTTTGGGTTCAGGGTCCTACTGTTAGGTAAAATAGCATCTCATCAATGAAATTAGTGCTTGAAGAGTTTTTTAGAGAACTGTTTCTCACTTTTGTCTCTGCTGCTTGCTGTATCTGCATGGGGGTGAAAGGAGAGGGAAGACTGGTGTGCTGCTGGTGTTGTCACACAGCACGTGTCTTTCTCCTTCCTGTCTCTGGAGCACAATCTCCAGCCATGGCTGTTGTGCATCAGAGTCTCAAGATAACTCCTTTGCAGTGTCCTTATTTCTGTCTTCAGTGATTTCCCAAGCAACCTGGGCAAAAACTCCTCACTCTGTCAGTGAACTTGCATTTTCTTCTTTTTAATAAAATTGTAATTGGAAATAATAAAAGGTATCTTGTTAGCTTTTGAAATCCAAAAGCCATGAGTTCACATGGTGTGACTTTCCTGTAGTGGATCTAAATTCCTGCTGATGAAAGGCATCATCTTTTTTGATGTTTTGTGCATGCTGTGCTGTTCCTCACAAATTGAACTGCTATGTATGAGCCTCATGTTCTTAAATTCCTGCCACATGTTCATCAGGTATTGCTTTTTGGCATGCTGGAGTTGCTTTTTGTTTTCCAGGCAAGTATCATGGTAAATAAGGAAGAAAAACCCCACAGCTCTTTTCTAATTGTTCAGTATTTAAATGTTAGCATATGGGTGACTTAAATGCACAGGACAGCCCTAAGAGTCGCAGCAGATGCCTGAGAGCATTGTCCAAAAGCTTCCTGAGCTGCCAAGCTTGTGGCTATGACCATTTCCCTGGGGAGCCTGTTCCAGTGGCCAGCCACCCTCTGAGTGAAAAATCTTTTCCTAAAACTCAACCTAAACCTCCCCAGACTCAGCTTCAAGCTGTTTCGTCAGGTCCTGTCCCTGGTCACCAGAGAAAAGAGATCCATGCCTGGCCTTCCACTTCCCCTTGTGAGGAAGCTGTAAATTGTGATGTGTCCCCTCAGTTTCTTCTACTCCCAGCTGAACACCTCTGATATTAGAGAAGATAAATGCTTTTTACAACCTCCAAATGCTCGTGTATTGCACAAGCCTGTCAAGGGCCTGGGTATCATTAGAATTTCTTTTTTTAGTGACTGAAGGCACATGAGCACATTGATTATACAATTGTGATATAAAGTTAGGTGAAATTCCAGGTTTCTTGGCAGTGCACATACTTCAGTGGGATTTTTTTACTGGTGTTTTTTGTGGAATACTTTCCTACTTTATTTATTACAACTAGCTTTGTGTGATGCGATATTAAAGCAAGTTTTCGTATCACTTTGGTCGTTCTGATTGTGACCTTCTCCTGATTCACACTTTAGTTTTTGAGGTGCTTCAATTCTTGAATTACATTTCTGGTGTCGTCTGGAATGTCTGGTACATATTTCACGCCTGGGAAAAGGTCTACATGCCTTCAAGTTGTCAGCTTTTTCCAGTTGAACTAGTTAGTCTTACAAACTCATAGTCTTAGTGATTATGTTCATCTTTTGTCCTTAACTATCGCATCTACAGCAACAGTGCTGCTCCTGTGTTTACTCCTGTAGTCTGCTATGGATTCAGGTGTGGTTGAGTGGGGTTTTTAATTCTTAAGAAAATCATCTTTGCTATTTGATCCTTCCAGTTCTCTTGAGATGCGATCTGTGCTGTATTATACAAAGTCACTGCCTTTTTTTTTTCCTGCTCTAGACATTGTAATAGATCCTCCATTATTGTAAGGTATCTAATTACCAGAGCTTCAAAGCAAGCATATGTCAAGCCGCTTGAAAGAAGGCATTTGTTTCCAGATGGTTCGTTTTTTGTGTCAAGCTTTATGCTGTTCAGCCATCATAATGTCAAATATTGTCCAAATGTTGCTCTCATGGCCATTACCCCAGCTTTCTGAATTTCATTTCTGTGGGGATCAGAGCTGGGCTTCCTCTCTGACATCCCTTCTCTTCTAACCAGTCTTTTGGTTGTCTGGACTCCTAGGTTAATTAAACTGAGCTATATGATATATGTGTGCAGGATTGCTTTGTTTGTGGGGTTGTTTCGTTTATTTGGGTTTGGGGCCTCTTTGTGCAGTATGTGCTTTCTGCACCCTTTTTGCTTTCAGCTGCTGCTCTCTTGCTGATGGTGCTTGGCAGGAGTACAGTAATTTCCTTATATCCAGGCATACAGACTCTTTACGCTGTGTGCCTGAAGTTAAAGTAAGCTAGATTTCAGTGACAAATAAATGTATTTTGAGAATATGCTTTTGGGAGTGTGTTCTGGTTTTGGTTGGTTTTTTTGTTTTAATTTCTCCAGTTCTCAGTTACAGAAGCAACAGGTAGCTGTTGCTTCATTGGGAAGATTGTGAATAGAGCTTTTCCCAAGTATAGCTCTAAAAGAGATGAAGCTCTTGTTGGGATGAGGGTACATTCATTAGACAGCATGTATGTTACAGGTCTTGGGTGGTCTCTCAAGCCTGCCCACAAGGCTGTGGCTCTGCTGGGGAGGGCTGTGACCTTGTTGTGCCCACCTGACCCTAATCTTGAATGAGCTTCTTTGGGTGTGGAGGAGTGACCCTGCCGTGGCTCCTGTGGTGTGATGTGTGGTGGATTTTTTTGCTTGCTGTGTGCTGTACAGTTGGGTCCCAGCCCACATCCTATCTGGCACACATCCTATCTGGATGCTGGCATTCAGGACACCTTGTTTCTGCATGAGACATGTTGGCTTTGGTGTGTAGTTACCCTCTGCTACAAAGTTTATCAGGCCCGAGAAGATCATTGTTTCTGGAGGGCTGTAAGAGCTCAGCAAACACTCAAAGGGGTTGTGTTTACTTCTGGTGTGATGGACTTTTTCTGAGCAGAAGTATGTTTGTCCTGGGGCAGGGAAGGATGGAGCCGCTCACATTGCCCAGGATTTTTCATCCCTGCCAAGGGTTCCAGAATGAGCATATAGGAGATAAAGCTCAGCTGTATCATAGAGTTTTCAAAACACAGTGAAAGATTGAGGCCTTAGGAGGAAAGGGCTCCTTTGCACATACATCCGTGTGGATCTTTGTTTCAAGTGATAAAGGATGGTATAGGAAAGGCCAAGGAGAGGAGGTGAGGTTTTTACCAAGCCCAAAGTAGTGTTAGAGGTAGCAGTGCTACAGGGCAAGCAAGGGGAATTCTGCTGTGTGGCTGCTGGGGATGCTCCATTTCTGGTCTCTCAGAGTGGAGAGCTGCTCACTGACCTCTGGCCCACGGGGTGGCGGTTGTGGTATAGCTAGGAACAAAACACAGAAGCTTTCTTGAGCTTTGGTGGAAAGAAGAGAATCTACCTCTCTTGGCCGGACCTTGGAGAACCCTCCCCTCTCATCCCAGTGGATGATCATCATAAATTGGTCTCATCCAAAAGAAAGCTAATTGTGGCCACTCAACACTAATTACTTTTGTGGTAAAGCAATTAATGGAAATTTATGTGATGCCTACCAAATTCTCTCTTTGTAAGAATTGAATTAAGGGGGTGAGGCAGGCCAGGAGGCAGTAGAAAAAAGACATAGAGGAAACTACAAACCTTCAGTGTGAGTTGATTCAAGAGCAGTTGCTGTAGATTTTCCTGCCAGGTAAATGTCAGATTGTGGGGTTGCACTCCTTCCTGGAGAGAATGGCATAGGTTAACTTCAAGCCAAGCCATCTTGGAGTTAGACTGAGTGCTTGCAGCCATAAGATAGGTGTTGGCGAGTGCTCTGCCGTGTCCCAGCAATAATTTGCTTGTGCATTTGCCTTCTATTTCTAAGTTGTTTCAGATAAGGGAGGGAAAGGATGATCAGAATTTCTTGGTGGACTGGTGGAACACCCTTCAGGTGCTTTCCTACTGCAGCCCTGACTAGTGATGGATTTCTCTGTTAGTCCTGAGTTAAAATCAGAGTCCCAGTCTGTAAAGGGACTGAGCTGTCTTTATAGAGAGTTGTGCTTAAGTTTTTGTAGAGATGGCTGATGCCATTGTATGCATTTTATTAATTCTGTCACTTTCTAAGATTGTACCCTTGTTAATGGTGCACTTGCACCAAAGTCTCATTCAAAGAAAATTGCTAGAGAGCATCCATATGCACCCGTATGTGCATTACATATATTAGAACAATTTAATGGTCTCTTCTTTTGTATACCATTTCTACAAGGCTGCTATTAAAATGTAAGGTCACTCATTGAAAGAAAATTGCTAGAGAGCATCCATATGCACCCGTATGTGCATTACATATATTAGAACAATTTAATGGTCTCTTCTTTTGTATACCATTTCTACAAGGCTGCTATTAAAATGTAAGGTCATTTGTCTTTTCCTGATGTGGTAAAAAAGATGTTGGCCAAATCTTCCTTCCTCACAGGGTCTTGGGTACAGTTTCCTGTTTGCAGTAGTAAAGAAGTAAGTCTTTGATGTTGTACCCGCCATTTAGCAAAATGGTATATAGCTGTCATGACTCCTGCAACAGCAGCTGGTTCAGTAATTTTAATAATTTATCAGAAGAATATTTAATTTTTTACCTTCTAGTTGTAAGGTGACTTTAAGAGAAGAATGAGAGGTAGTGTTTCTGAAATTACCTGCTACAAAAAATAGCAGTTGCTTGCTGCTTAGAGGAGTTGTGCTAAAAAAGGAACTTTCCCATCCCTCTGTAAAATCATGTCTTGGAATACGCTTAAAGTGTGTGTCCAAAACCTCTTTGCTCTGTTCTACATGGACAGAAAATGTGTAAAAGTAGGAGTCAAGGTTATCTGGAGACTGTTGCAGTAATCCCAGAGTTATTTTTAAACTTGAAATATTTTGCAGAGTTCTGCCCCTCATTGCCTCCCCACCTTCTTCCCATCCCCCCCCCTTTACTGTGAATTAGTGCTTGAAAAAATAGTAGTAAATACTTAATGCATGTCACCACTGGAAACATGTCAAGTAATTTGGAGGAGAAGTTCATGTTACTCTTGGTTTGTACAGAGCTTGTGGTTGAGCGCTCCAGTCCTGTAGTTGGATCTCTCGAAGTTTTTGCCCGCTTGCAGAGGGTCTGCTGCAGGCAGAGGCATTGCCGAGCTTCAGGACCAGAGCCAAGATGGTCAGGAGGCTTATTCATCGCTGGCAAAGGGCAGAAGGCATCATGCTGTGCAGTAGACAGTCTTGCTGTGGGTTATTTGGTGTTTTTTAAAAAGTAATTAACATTGCTTCTGTGACTTAGCCCATCTTAAATGGTACAGAACTGTATTTTCCCTCCCCCTTCATGTATGTAACCCAGATGTAATTTCCTATAAATAATTTAACTACTTCAGCAGCTGTTGAGAATGAGCTATACCTACTTAAGAAAGTCTGAAGAATTTTTGAAGCCTCTTCAAACAGCATACTCTTTTTTCTTTGATTAATATAACAATGTCTTTTGCTTTTGAAAGAAGACGTTTATAGAACTGGCTTGTGCTTCCTTAGCTTAAAATTAGTAGGGTATTGCTGTACTCTTTTCTTGTTTGCAAATGTATTAAGGGACCTGCTTGTTTTGAGGACAGAAGAAGTGAGGTAGTAACAGAGAAACAAGAGGGTCCTTTTTTGCAGAAGTCAGAAATTATGAAACAAGCTTAAACTGGAGGAAGAGCTTACAGAGACCTGTTCTAGAAATGTAGCCTATGTAGTAATCATGTCAAAGAAGGCAACTATGTTGTCACTGGTAAAGTTGTTTTATGATAGAATATCTTGTTGCATATCTGTCTGTAAACTGATCTTGTTATATAAACTGCGATTGTGGGAGATCTACTTGGCTGGTCCCGCCTTGTCTGCAAAGTACAGTGGTGTCTTTGGGGTCTCCTTGCAATCAGGTTATTTTGCACCTAGCATAGATCCCTGTTTCTTTGGGAAGATCAGAATTTTTCCTTGGGTGCTTTGAGGATCTGGGTGGGGTTTGACCCCTTGATGTTTTTTGTTTTGGTTTTGAATCTTGCTTGTTATATGGTACTTCAGTCAGTAGATGCCTTGATTTGGGGCAGTCTGTGTACTTGCTGTTTGAGAGGATAATTCCATTCTGACTGAGGCCTTGGTAGGAAACCTTTCTCAGCCTTGAACTAAATCCTGGGTGAATTTGTAAGCATTGAAAAATGATTCATGTTTGTGTACTTACTGCTCTTATACTGGTGGCAAGAGGCCATAGATGAGCTTGGGGTACATCATGTGAAGCAGCCCAAATATTCAAAGGGTAGAGTGGGAACTGAAAATATAGGGAGAGTGTGTTGCTTCATGCTATATTATCTGGAAAGAGCAGCAGGCATCTATCAGAGTGTTGAAATATTAGGATTTGCATAGGAGGGAGCAATGACCTCATATATCGTGCTTAGCTCTATGCTGGGATGTTCTTCAATTTGGGACTTTTGCTGCTGCTGCAATTCATGACATGGATTTGGGAAGAAGGTTATCACTGGCTTTGGAGTTGTGGACATGGAACCTAACCTACACTGTAGGTTAATGTAATTGGTAATACATTAATTTGTAATAATGTAATGTAATGGGCATGCTTCTTCCTCACAGAGCTACAGCACAAGAGCAAGGATGCAAAGTTAGCTGCTCTGGGTAGCATACAACTTCCCTTACGGTGTTTCTCCTGAGTAATAATGGGAACAGTGATTAGCTGTGCTTAGCAGTGATGACAGTCCAGCTTTAAATAACATGTGGAGCTTCCTAAGTGAGGACTTACTGAGCCTGAAATAAAACTGCTGAGAATCTAAAGCATTTTGTTCAGCACACTGCAAGAGCTGTGTTCTTAAGCCTGGACTTTAGTGCAGCAAAATACAGGGGCCAGAGAGAAATTAGTATCAATCTTAAAATTACATCTTCCTTAAAAACTGGTGGCACAGGCTTCAAGTGGAGGATGGTGGTGCCCTGTGCTCCTCACCCTCATTGCAGCCTATTTCAAGGGTACCTAAGGCCATACACTACTGTCTGCCAGTGTTGGTCCCTTGGTCCCCCAGGGAAAATGCGTGCAGAATCCTGTCACAACTGTGCGCCTCAGAAGTGCTGTGGGACGGTGCTGGGTTGCAAAAGTAGACTTCTGGAGAAAAACCATCTTTTATTGCATTCTCTGTGCACTAAAAGCTCTTGCACATTTCCTCTGGGGTCTTTGGTTACTCCACTTCAGGAAGATGCCAGTGATGTAAATGCAAGGAGGGAAAGCTATGGTTAATTGTTAATCCAATTAAGGTGGACTGATGATTTAGAAAACATGGGTTTGCTGATTGCAAGTAGTGGTCATGTTCATTGTCCCCCTGCATCAGGTTCGGGAAGCTGACCCTAGTTTTCATCTTTGCTGTGAAATGAAGTTTTTTTTAAAGTCCTAAATGTCTTTATTACTTCTGCTAATTATTTTATCTAAACTGCACCTTTCTCTTTGCCACCCCCTCTTTCCCTACCAAACAACCCTGTGCATCCATTTTTTGTGTGTGGACTTGTCATGCTTACATGAAGTTGGAGATGAAAAGCTAATTTGCTATTCAGTTAATTACTAAAACTTGCTAATTTCTCACTGAAATGAAAATATATGTTTCATATTATTTTTCAAGCTTATTAAAGGCTTTCAATACTGAATTGTTCAGAACTAAATGCATAATGTAGCATAACAAGCCAAGTTTCTTTCTCTCTCCAAGCCAGAAATTTATTTGAAATGTGGGAGAAGTTTCTACTGAAATACTGTGCAGGCTGACTCTTACAAGCAAGAATGAAAAGTGTTTGCGATGACACTATTTCAGTTCTGCTCATGCTTTCAGGAAATATGCTTAGTATTGAAATAGGTTTGAATAAGATGCAATTTTCTAGGAAGAATTGTCAGATAAGGAGAGTTAGAGAGTTCTAGCAACTTCAAACCTGTTCTTTCTGTTCTGAGTTCCTGGAAGAAATCACAGGATAGTTTATTGCAACAAAACTTCTATCATAATCTACGATCAGTTGGGCAAATTCTCATAATTCCTCTAACTGCCTTCCAGACACAAGGAGATTTTGGGGAGCCCTGTTCTCCTACCAGCCTCTCAAACGCAGCAGAATAGTTTTTTAAAAAACTTGAATTCTTGGGCATATCTAGAAAAGTAATTTTGGGTGATAGCTTCTGCATAAGTGAAAGCATAGTATAACAAACATGCAGATGAGCACAAACATGGTGTGAGAGGAAAATTAATGATTTTGAAGAAGTTCAAGCTGACGACCATGCTCAAGGTAGGCAGTATTTGGTGGTCCAAAGGAGGGTCCAGGAGGCAAAGACCCAAACATACCTCTACTCTGGGCCCTGTATTGGCCAGGGTTTTGTCTGCTACAGTGGAATTATGGCTGGGGGGAAGGGTGATGCTTGGGAAGACTTGCAGGACTTGTGTCTTGGAGGAAGTTCCTGTGTTCCAGCTGCCCAGAGCTGCAGATCCTGGGAGCCTCAGTACTGCATCCCTGATGCTGACAAAGACATAAATTTTGCCGTGCAGCTGTAGATTCCCAGGGGAGGATGGATTCACAAAATGCCATCTGCTGTTTTGTGGAAACAGTAACATTTTTTACACTTTTCTTTTTTAATATGGCCTGAAATAATAAGTAATTTCATAAAATATCTGCTCTTTATCTCCAAAAAAGAGATAGGGTGCATTATTTAAAACAAACGTTTGACTATTGTGCATCTTTTTCTTTTAGGGTTGTTTATTTGGGTTTGTTTTGATTGTGGTTTGATTGCTTTTATTTTGTCTTTTGTTTGATTTTTGTTTGTTTGTATTTAATTGAAAAAATAAATTTGACAGGTGTTATACTGTAGAATCAAAATGTTCGGAGTTGGAAGGGACCTTAAAGTTCATCTAGTCCCATGGGCTAGGACACTTTCCACTAGATGACTGGATTAAGTTGCTCAAGGCATTGCCAAGCCTGGCCTTGAACACTGGTATATTTCTATACTGGCATCCAGCAGCATTCACAAACTCTGTACATCCTCAAGCCCTCTTCTTCCACCTTTTGTGACTAATTATTTTCACCACAGCATTTGCTGTGGCATAGAACAACTCAATATCATGGTGCTCTCAAGAAACCCTGTAGCTGTTTAGGCTGCAGGTGGGTATACACTTTTTGATTCCACTTCCACATTAACCTTGAGTTAGAATCAGACAGCTGATACCTCAGTTCCACTGACAAAGAATGAGGTTTCAGTCCACCTAGCTTTACCCTGATGAGATGCAGACCCTCCTGGAACAGTTCTGCTAATAGCAGGAGGCTGGGAATTAGGGATGCATGGGTGGTGTGTAGAACCAGCAAGATTTCAGGCTGTACTGCTTGTGCTGTGAGTGAGGTGAGCCTGAATGGAGGTGGCTAGGCACCACTCTAGCTATGGCATCTAGTCTAGATGCTTCATCTCCCTATAGAAGACCTGTTACACTATGGTCTCATAAATACTGTTGTCTTTAGCAAAGTTGTTTGATTTGTTGGGTTTTTATCCTTTCTCTCAGTCAACTAAACATTCCTTGCCAGTTACTCATTAAGATGGGCCACACCTTACGCTTTCTGACCGAGTCTCAGTGAATGAGAGGTGCTAGCCCTGAATACACGTAGCTTTTTTTTCTGGCTTGCCTCCAGGTTGGTTTATTTTCCTTTCATATTGTGAGACCCTTTGGACTGTGCTTGAGGAGGATCTGCAACCACTGCCACACTGCTCTGCAATGGCTTTTTTTTTTGCTTAAAACTTTTGCAGTTTAGATAAGTTCCTGAAGAAGAGCTGATGAACCTCTTCTCGCTCTGGGTCTTTTGTGTGTATGAACTCTTTTGAAGAGTGGAAAGCATCAGTATGGCCAAAATGTGCAGTAGTGAAGAGAAACAGAAAGCTGACTTGCTTTGTCTCCTAATCTCACACTGCTTCCTTTCCCTGTGGTGCCAGAAATACCCCACCCTGCACCCTGCTTTCCTGAGGAGGTGCCTACTCTGCTTGCTGCTTCTACCCACCTCAGCATACCCTGCAACTGGGTACCCTAGAGCAGTTACAAAGATGGAAATACTGTATGAATTCCTTACTGTTCAAGTGCAGCTAAATAATTTCATATTTATTTGCTAAAAGAAACAAAAAACTTACTTGAAGATCTTAGGTTAATTGCTTTTCAATTTCATTTAATTTGCAGTCTTTTTAAAAACTATCTGATAGCAATGTGGATCACTGAATGCAGGAGTATGTGTGTGTAATAGTTAAAAAAAACCCACAACAAATCATGATAAAACCACACAAGCAAAAACCAGCGCAGAACCCCACCTTGTGAGCTTTTACACCACACTCACTACACTCTTGAAGTGTAGTCTCTAGCTGTCACTGTCTGAGACCAGTTGGAGAAGCCCTGGTATGTCATGCTGCAGTTAGTATATCTGGCATCAGTCCACGCTACAGCCAAAAAAGGCAGCGCTCCTTGCTGCTTCTTTCCTTTTCATCCGGTGTCCTGGCACTCAAGTTTGTGTGGCTGTACAGTGAACTCATTCAGGGGAAACTGATCCTCTTAAACCTTTCTATTTATTTGTTGCTGTTGAATTAACTTCCAGTCAATTGATTCTTTGCTCTGGTTCTTGGTGCAACCGTGTGAGCCTGGTTTGCTGCACGAGCAGTAGCCCAAGAGGGAGGAGGTGGGAGGGGGATGTGATGTTGGGCCATCCCTCCTTGTAGGTCCTTGAACTTAGAGTGGCGGCACCTGAAGCAATTGTGCTTGCTCTGTGTCCATGCATATGTGTTGTACCTGGGCTGTGTATGGGCAACGTGCTCTTACTGAGGGTGTGTTTAGGATGCTGGTGCTGAAGTGAGATCCAGACAGTGAAGCCAAAGCAGGCTGAAGAGAGCAGGAGAAGTATCGAGACAGGAGCCCTGTGTGTGAACACGCGTAAGGTGACATTTCTTGGAAAAGTTTAGATGTGAGCTAGTTTGCACGTGAAGTTTAAAATTTACAGAAATGTGACACTGTCTTGCAGCACACCTTGGCGCCTTTGTAAAGTTTATTACCTGTTCTGACACCTTTAACCAGCTCACGTTTGAGAAAGGATTACTGCCCTTAGCTGCTAGCAGCCCCCTTCTAGCCTTCCAGAGGCCTCTCCCACTACATGAAAGTCAACAGTGACCAAGAGTAAATCTCAAAAATCTCATCACCTGTGATGACATATTTGTTCTAGTGAACAAAAGCAGATCATTATTTGGGACTTAGTGTGTATTTTGCAAGGATGCTGCCACAGCCTGCTGCAATGTCCTTGCCAAGCTGGGGACGTTGTGGCAAGGAGGTGGAGTATTGTTGGATCATGGGCATGAAGTGGTCTCTAGTGGCTTGAGAGCTGCTGGACAGATGGCTGCGAGTGTCATTTTCCAGGTGTTGGTAATGAGGTTGATGCAGTTCAGCACCTTATTAACATCTTCCATCACAGGCAAGATATTACTGTGTTACTGATGCCACTGTTAGTGACACCAAATTGGGAGAGGAAGAAGCAATTCATGTGTTGAAGGGCAGGGCTGCCATTCAAACCAACAACCTGTGGCATGGGCTGACCAGTGTTGCCTACTTCTGCAGAGGAAGTACGCCTGGGACACAGTAACTCTGTGCAATAGGATGGGCTGGACTAGACAGCAGATCTGCAGAAAAGAGCTGGAGGTCCTGGTGGACAGGTTGATCATGGATCAGCCAGTGTTTCTGTGGTTCTGTAAAATCAAAATGTGTTCTAGAGACCTTAAGAAAAGACAGATTAACAATGCTTGGGAACCGTATGATCCGTGTGAACTTAGTGATTCATGCATTTGTGGAGGCAAGGTGTGTGATCATGAGAGGTTTGTTGCCCTTGGGAAGGCAAGCAGATACGAAGTGTAAAGGCTGCATGCATTTTTGTTTATTTAATGGCTTCTGGGAACGTTTTAGCTGAAGTCCTGAACTGGTGATTTCTTTCTCCATACTGAGGGTAGAAACACTTGCAGCTTTTTTCTTTTTGCTGTCTGAAGTGCCCTGTAAGCAAGATGGGGAAAAGAGCAGTGGCGTCCTGTTTGTGGATATGAAATATGTCCCGTGAGATAAAGCACAGAGATTGCTTCAGAGTGAGAAGAATATATTTTATGCAGGAAAGAATGAAGGAATTGCCTCTTTTTCCATTACAGGAGAATAAAAATGCAGTGGGTGGTAAGAAGTGATTTTTTTGGTTACAGTGGCTGAATATGAGGTTATATTTTTAAAATGTCATGGTACTTCTTTTAATGAAGTTCCTTGCAACTGTTTTTGTTTTCCAGCTCCTTGCAAGTGTTCATTAATAGCACAGCGGGCGGAGCTCTGTACGTTGATGAAGAACTACCAGCAAGCTCTTCACGACGCAGACATCCTGTGCCGGAACAAACCCCACTGGCCCGTGGTACGGTGCTCGCCTTTTGTAAAGATCAAAATGGAAACTGCTTCTCCTTGGGGCTTCTCTCTGTGCTGGGGACAGTGCTGCTGGGAATGTTGTTGGAAGAACATCGTGGCATTAACAGGGCCAAAAATGTCTTAAGTTCTTCAAAGAATAAGTCTGGAAGGTCCTCAGAATCTCTCCAGCTGGTGGGATTTTGGTAGTGGGCAGCTGGTGGTGTGGTTTCGTTCATGCTGATGTCTATTACCTGTTACAGCTTGTGCTGCAGCTTGGCAGCTGAATCAGTCCATAAGGCTCTGGCAGCCCAGGATGGCCCTGCAGGTCCTTGTGGGATGATGTGTATCCCCAGGAAGTGGGTGGCTTTGACAGCCTGCTGGCCAGTATGTTTTCCTGAGAAGCCACCCAGACTCTATTTCAGGATTATTTTCTTTCCCTCTTTAATCCTAAGATTTCATATCTGTGCTGTCTATCTGTGTCATAGAGGTGTTTCATAGAGGAGTTAGGATTTTTTTCATAACCAAAGCATGTGCTACAAGGAGCGGTGGGCAATTTGAAGCAAATATCAGAAAAGATGTTAGGAGAGAGAAATGGAAGAAGCACGTGGTGCCCATCATTACTACTGGTTGCGTGAGGCTGGACTGAGTGTCCAGCAGTTCACCCTACCTAGGATTACACCTGCAGTCAGCCTCTCTCCTATCAGCAGCAAAACTGCAGCACAGGTTTGAGCAGATAAAGCCTCTGGCTGCTTACTAGGGAGGTGTGGCATTGGGAATTGGGGAAGTATTTTAGGCAGACATTGTCTTCCTGTGGAGACTAAGGAGGTGTTGCATAAATGCCTCGGCCTCCTGCCTGAGCAAGCAGGGCTATGCATCTAGTGCTCCATTCCCAGTCAGGGGTGATGCAGGGCAGGCAGAGAGGTGCTGTCTGAAACACCAAGTCTCTGGCAAGTTAGGTAATTTTCTCTGAAGGCTATCTGTGCTGTCACCCGTTAAAGCCTTTCATCTTGGAAGGCAGTTCATAATCTTCCCCTGCATCCAGTTTGGTTCTCTGTCTTGGATAATTTCTCATCAAGTCAGAAATCCCATCTTGGGTGATGCTGGCTGTGTTTCTGTGCAGAGGGAGAAAAAATAATAACGCACGTTCAGATTTTTTCTTGAAGTGTCTTCTGTTTGCCTGAATCCATGGAAATGTGATGCGTGTCAGTCGTAGGCGGATAAAGGTTTCATTAATCACATCTCTGAAGAACGTTAATTGAAAATGAAATTTGTCATCGTGGTGTAACCAGCAGTGTCTCAGACGTACTTCACTTGTGCTTTCATGGTTTTGAGGACATCAACATAAGTTGTGCTGACCCAGAATCTATGTTCTCCAGGAGTTCTAGGCATCTGCTTTGTTTTGTGTATTGCAGCATCTTATCCATTTGCAGAGATTTGCTCAGACATTTGCTGTGTAGTTAAAAGAAAACCAAACCCAACATAAAATTAAACTTAATTCTGAGAGTCGCTCCTAGGATGCAAGTGTTTACCTACTGGTATCTTTTGGCTTACTGGTAACACATATAGACTTGCTGAGTTACTGGTGAAACTCCTTGATATGCTGTAGTCATTTGAGCTATAGATAAGTTGGTTTCTTTTCAGTTGTATGAAAACTGTGACTCTGTAAGGTAGGGAGAAGTCCCCAGTTGTGTTTTTATATGGAGGGTAGACAGAGGTGCCCTCCTGCCTGCTACTCATGGTCCTGCTTGGTTCTTCTCTTCAGTCTGATGCTTGTCAGGGATATATGAAAATAGAATAGGGAAGGTGACAGCAGTAGTTTCTGAAGTATAGGGACCTCTAGTCCCTGGGCCTAACTTCTGATGTTGGATCTGTAGGTACTTTGTCTGTGGACCACCCAGCTCAGTCCTTCCTTGCAGGTCAGATAAGGACATTGCTCTTAGGGCCTCGAAGGACAAGTGCAAACAAGCTTGTAGGCTCCCCAGTGCAGTGCAGTAATGCCAACAGTGATGGCAGACGTGTAAAAGGTTGTATGGAGGCTGTGCAAGCATCCAGGTAAGAAGGTCAGGGTCAGGCATCACAGTGTCTCTCTTCTTACTGCACTGAGGAAAAGAAAAATGTATCTTTCCTGGAGAGAATCAATGTGTACTGAAACTTCTTGCACAGGTCACCAAATGATAATTGTGTTAATTAACCTGGCCTGTGCAGTGTTTGCTGCTTGCGTTTGGCATAAGCCTCCTTCTTCCAATTCCAGTGGAATGGTAAAGATCTTAACAGGTCTCAGCTTGGACAGCAGTATTGAAAGAATGAGGGAGTTACCTGCTCAGGAAGATTATGTGATACTGGACCTTTCAGCATTATTATGAAGCAAGAAAAGTGGATCTGCTTATCTAGCCAGTTTCTTAGATGAATTAAGCTGTACTTCCAGTACAGCCTAGAGATGTTCATGTGGGTCAGGGTTTGGACTTGTAGAGCACACTTCTGTCTAATAAGCCAGAGGGAAATGTTTAAATGTACACTTAGTTTCTTTTCATTGTAAAGGAAGTAATTTCCATAATCAGATTAGAACAGTAGTTTGATATCTGCAGGTAAGTTCAGAGGCAAAGCATTCCACTTTTGCTAGTAATAACAAGTAAAGTAAAGTAGGATTTATTCCCAAGCTGGCTACCATAACTGTTGGTCATGGATGTGTTACTCCAGAACATGGGAGAGGTAGGGTGGGCTAAAATACTTCAGGTTAAGTGTTGGTACATTGCCCTAAATTAATTATGTTTTTGGGCCAAATAAATCAGGTGAAAAATTATCTCTGTCCTAGTAAGACATCCAGGAGAAGTGGCTATTATGAACTCTCTCAGCTGCCAGTTCCAGGCAGCCCTGTGCCACTGCCTTTTCTGTGTAGATGTCTTACTTTTTACGTTTGTCCTGATATGTGAAACTGTTTTCTGGTGTATCCAAGTACAGTGGGATGTGTAGTAGACTTTGTCCCTGGGGGGAAAAACGCCCTTCCTTATTCCCAGTTCTTCTCTCAAGAAATGAGCAATGCCTTTGGCAAGGGATGATGCAGCAGAGGGTTCCTGGGGAATCTTACTTTGCCAGAAGGGACTGAATTTCTTTCAGTCACACATGTCAAAGAGTCTGTTACCTCTTGTTACCTGTTCTTCACCTGCAGAATGATTTGGACTTTCAGGTTTGTTTTCAGGTGTATTGCTGCCACTTCAGAAATGATCTCTAGATTTGTACATTTCCTTTGTGTGAACAGGGCCATTATGTGAAAGCAAAAGCTCTTTCTGGATTGGAAAGGACCGAGGAAGCATTGAAGGAGTTTCTTTATTGTGTTGCCTTAAATCCTGAATGGAGCTCAATGAAGAAAGAAGCCCAAAAGGTATAAAATGTATTTACTGGCTATTTGGCCATTGTGCTGCTTTTAATCCCACAGCCAAGTAAAATTCATGGTATTTCAGGTGATAGTAAACACCCAAAGGATAGTTTGATTCAGAAGATTCTCCTCTAAATTCTTCTCTAATAAGATTCTTCTCTAAAAAGTAGACCTTTTTAGCATTATGCTTTGTGAGGCACCTCTTGGTTTTGGTTGAAGCCTCAGCCAGAGGGATTATACATTTGTGAATTCTACTGCGTAGGCTTAAGGCTGCTAATTTTAGTATCCATCAAAAAATGACTTTTATGTGGGAAGTGGCAGAGGATTGAGGAGAGGAAGCTGTGTGCTGCCCTGTGCTGGAAAAATCCTGCAGTCTTCCTAGCATTTTGTTCCTTATGGGAAGTTAGACACATTAAGTGCTAAGAACCCATCATCAGGTTCTCTGTGACCATCCATACAGGCAACTTTTTATAAAAATAAGATGAGGATTTGGCAAGATGCTTGGTGTGGACTGGTGAGACGAGGAGCAGGCTTTAAGCTAGGGGTTAAATCTGTTGAGGATGGACAAGATGGATGAAGAACACAAGGAATGTTTAAACATATCTCTGTTAACTGGTTTTGATGGGAAAGCATGGTCTGAAGACTTCTGGAGGCAGGGTCAAAATGGAGATGGGTAGGATCAGGAGAAGGATGCAACAAACTGCTGCCCTGGATGCTCTTGGGGAGCAGAATCCTTTGGTAAGGGAGATAGGCACTGGAAGAGCACCTTGGCATGTGACTGTGGTTGTGGTGGGCACTGCCATTCATGTTTCCCATGGGCATTGGGGAATGCAGGATGTCTTGGATGTTGCAAGCTTCTTGGCATCTAGAAACTGTGAAGTTTGTGCATCTGTGTTCACATAAACATAAATATCTATGTTGTAATTATTATATTTTCTTTTTTTTTCTCTCTCTAATTGACTAGATAATGTGTGAGATGTTTTTCCCAGCCTTTGAAAATGTGCATGATAGTCTAACAGCACCTTTCTCTAGTCGAACATCCCATACAAGATTGAAACCTGCATTTCTGAGTAGCATAAACACACAGTCAGCTGTGGAAGATAACTCTGTTGCGGGGTCCTCAAAGGTAAAGCAAACACGTTCAACATAAAAATAGCAAAAATAGTATATGGATCTTTCTGGTCTGTGTGACATTGTCTGCAACTGAGTGGGCTTGGTGGTAAATCTTACTTTTATGGTAAGCCTGTTCTCTTCATTGCTGTCGGATCTCTTACTGGGATGTACTTCCTCAGAAAAATAAGAGAGTGAACCTTTTTCTTCAGAAAACAATGTGATGCCTTTGAGTGGGGGTCAGTTGTGTTTGTGTTTTTTCTGGCAGGAACATAATTTCTAGAGGCTGGAGCTGTAGGGACAGGCATGGCCCTACTTCATGCAATTGGGAAGTGACCTTTGATATAGACTGTTCTCAATTGTTAGGCTCCTTGTGGGAACATTGATCTATTGCTAATAAAACTGACAGTTGAAAGCAAACCAAAATTGTCTTATGCTGTATATAATGTTCTTATTCTTTTAGGATTCTATGTTCAGGTTAACAAAAACCCCGTCCCAAGAATCTGATGTATTCAGAAGCACTGATTCCTCTGTTACCCATCATGTTCTGGATCTCTACTTTGATGAGAACAAGAAGTCTTTGGGAGCTATTCTCTCCAGTTTACCTGGGGTTGGCTTAAAAAGAAAGCTGTCCAGTGATACAAGGGATTTGCAGAGTTTGGATGTCCCCAATAAGATTCTTAAAAAAGGTTTGTGTTGTGGCTTAGAAAAGTGATTTCTCTTGCACATACTGCAAAACTATAAACTTTTTTACTCTCCTCTTTTTATAGGAGTCAAGAAAACGTTCCCTACAGGAATTTTATTCTCTGGTGTGTCTGTTTCTGCTCTGACAACCTATTTACCTTATTCCAGAGAAGTTTAAGTTCACTGACTGAAAACTGTATTGTTCTTTCTCAAGTGGGCCATTTCCAATGTAATATGTGTATAATGCACTTGCAGTTTAGTCTTCATGTTGGTAGTGCCATTTCCATTTGCTAGGTCTCAGCTATAGCTGAACTTCATTGTCTTTCTATATGATTGAAAGATGGAGTAAGCCTGGAAACTAATATTTAACTGGCATTAGAAACAGTCACATGCAACTTTACATGAAATTTTCCAAGTAAACAAAGAAGCCTTTTAATGGGTAATAAGCCCCCACCCCCCAGTTTTCTGTTACTTGATAGCTGTGTTTACAATTTGCGTGCTTCTCAGGCTTCTAACAAAGACCTCCAGAGTGGCTTTAGTACTCAGGGCTAAAAATGCTGAAGGCAATACTCTACTGAGTAGTGTAATAATTGGTTAAGATAGACTTTGAAAATGTTGCTGTGCCAGTATGACTTTTTTCCCTTAAAGATAAAAAAAAAAACAACCTACACCTTGACAAGTTTGACTTGTGCCTGAAAATGTTGCAAGTCTTCAAGTACAACTGTCTGTCTTTGACCTCTACAAAAGATCAGTAATATGGCCAGTTTTTGATCACCTTGCTGTGGAGGAAAAAACCCTGTACTTGCCTGTGAACAGCAGACTGAGTAAATAGATTGTGAAATGTGACCCACTTGTATCTTCATAGGGAAGGCCGGAGATCATGTTTTACCCATAAACACTAATTTCTGGTGTGTTCTAGGTCCCAGTGCCACGTTACTGTTTGCAGAATTAACTCAGCCAGGTTCTTGCAGTTACTAAATGCTAACATGTGAGATGTAGGTTAAAGATAGCATTGCTTTTCTTTTTAGGCCACACACCACCTGTCCTGTCTGTGCTGGAGATAAACCATATGCTGAGCATAAGTTACTCTTTAACAAAGCATCCTAGTATTTTAACTCAACATAAAAAGTAGAGCTTTTAAAAGATCAAGAATTTGGTTAATAAAAAACATGTGGAGGCAGCAGTCACGGCTCTGTTGCAGCTCATCACAAAGATACAAATTGTAAAAAGTTGAGAATTTGCTTGTGTAAATGTCAACAGAAGCTGGAGTTGAATAGCTTTTGAGCCTAAATAATGCTGCTGTGAAGTTTGAAGTGCATACCCTTAAAGTGAGTTAAACCCAGAGATATAAACCACCCCCAAAAATCAATCTGGGTAGAATTTTAAGTGGAGTGAAAGCTTCTCTCTTTGCAGTTTGTTGAGATAGTAAAACTGTGTTAGCTAATACAGTTGCAGTAGTCTTTTTAACTTTTAAGCTGTCTAAAATTTGGGATTTCTACAACAGCCTAGTCTAGAAAAATGTAAGCCTTTTTATATTTGTAAGAAAAATTACCCTTCCTGAGAAATCTATAATAAACAGTGATGAAATATTTTGACTGTGTGTAAACAAATTAAATTCTGGACTTAATGTACTTGAAAACATCTGGCCTGGCTGATGTGGGGGTGGTGGTGGGAAAGCAATAGCAGAATATTTTAAAAACTAGCCTAGAAAAACCCACAGCACAATCATTTTTGGAGAAGCAAATAATGGGTGTTCAGCTCTAAAGTGTATTGTCTGGCTGCAGACATCATCTTCTGCTCTCCAAAAGATCTCCTGCCAAAAATCTAAAACTTAGTTGGGAAGTATGTTTGTAGAAACAAAACTTAAGAAAAGACAAGAATTGGATTTTTAATGAAAAAGTCAACAGTGTAAAGACTGGAAAATGCAATAATGCCTACATCTTTACTATAATATTTTTCTTGACTACTTAGATGGAGATGTTTTACCTGAAAACACCACTGACACTTCAAGTGAAATACCAACAACTCTAGTGGATGCATCGGACTTTGAGTGTTCTCTCTGCATGAGGTATGACTGCGTTGACCTGGCATTAACATCACAAAGCCTCTCTAGCTTCTGAAAAAAGTTATTCTGGTGTAAGAAGAGAATGTCTAAATCACTACTCTGTTCCTTTTTGCTGAACATTACATCTGGTGAATCTTTACAGATGCAGTTTTCTCCATTATGTATGCAGTTCTCCATTGTTTACCACTTGTAAAAATGAAAACCTCTTTTGTATCCTTGGATAATGCTGTCACCTGTGCTTTATAAAAATGCAGAAAAAAAAGAAAGAGCTAGGACTAGTCACTTCTCTCCACACATTGGGAATTGTTTTTTGTTGACAACTTAGCATTTTTTATTCCATGTTTTCATGTTAAGGTTGTTCTACGAACCTGTTACCACACCCTGTGGACACACCTTTTGCCTCAAATGCCTTGAGCGTTGCCTTGACCATAATCCACTTTGCCCTCTCTGCAAGGAAAAGCTGTCAGAAGTAAGTACGTCCTTGCCCCAATTAACAAAACTGCACAAACTTGTGTTCTTCTGAAAACATCTGTGTGAATATTTTCTGTGCTCTACTTGTGAGCTGCATCCAAAGCAGTGTGGCCAGCAGGGTGGGGGAGGGGATTCTGCCCCTCTACCCCATTCTGGTGAGACCTACCTGGAGTGTTGCATCCAGCTCTGGGGTCCCTAGCACAGGGGAGCAAGTCCAGAGAAGGGCCATGAATGTGGTCTGGGGCTGGAGCACCTCTCCTATGAGGAAAGGCTGAGTGTTGTAGTTGTTCAGCCTGGTAAGGAGAAGGCTCTGGGAAGACCTCTTCTTGGCCTTACAGTACTTCAAGGGGGTTTATAAAAAGATAGAGACAGTCATTTTATTAGAGGGTAATGCTTTTAAAGTGAAAGAGAGTTGTTTTAAAGAGATTAGATGTAAGTAAAAAGTTTTTTTCCATGAGGGTGATGAAACACTGGAAGAGATTGCCCAGAGAGTTGGCAGATTGTCCATCACTGGAAACATTAAAGGTCATGTTGGATGGGGGGCTCTGAGCAATCTGATCCATTTGAAAATGTCCCTGCTCAAGGGGTTGGACTAGGTGACATTTAAAGGACCCTTCAGCCCAAACTTCTATGATTCTATAAAAGCAGAACAAGACAGTACTGACAGCACCAAGCTGTACACAGACCTCATTTACTCAAGGATATATTTGGCATTCAATGGAATACAGGTAGTTTCACTGGTTCTTAAAAAAATGGAGGCTTCCAGTATCACATCAGGCTCATGCCTGAGGACGTCCAGCCATAGCTGTATTCATACCAAATTTCCAGTTTATGTGGAAACTGGTATATCAAGAATGGTTGCTCTTTGGTCAACACTTGTCAGCAGCAGACACAAGGTATCCCATGCCTAGTGCTTCTTGCCAGTAAGCTGACAGCTGTAGATGAAGATGATACATGTATCTTTGCAAAAGTGAGGATGGACTACCTTTTCTTCCTGGTAGTACAACTTTGCCAAAAAAAGGGGATGGAGTTAAAAGGACGGTGGGGTGAACCACATAGGCTGAAGTGGAAGTTGTGGTGCCCGGAGGCTGAAAAGGGTAAGGAATTTGTACAGTCCTAACTAATGTGTACTTTGGCCTTGGGGGAGAATGGGCTGGGATGAAGGGATGTTACTTCTTTTCTTGTTACCAGACTTAAGAGTTGACTGTTCCTTGTAGTTTCTGGCAAGCAGAACTTACAAGAAGACCGTCCTCACAGAAGAACTGATAGTCCGTTACTTGCCGGAGGAATTATCTGAAAGGAAGAAAGTTTATGATGAAGAAATGAAGGAATTGTCAAAGTAGGCTCTCTTTATACTACTGACAGCTGTTACAAAAATGTATTTTTCAGCCTAAATTACTGAAGAAGATTAATTTGCTTATGAAAATGCACCAAAAGAATGAATTTGTAAATGAACCTGCCAGATGTTTTGTATTTTTGATGTGTATGTTGCAGATAAACAAGTAAGAATGTGCTTGGATGGTGGAGAGGCAAAACAATATTCTTAAAATAAAGATAATTGCTTTTTCCTATGAAATAACATAATAGCTTTAGAAGTTATTCTGGGAGTAGAATTCAAATTATCAATGGGTTGTACTTCAGGTCAGGAGAAGTTCAAGGATCCAGTTTTGTCAGTGACTTGTGAATGTTGTGGTGCAAGTCAGCAAAAGAGTAAAACAAAACATGCAGTCAATCCTGAAAAAAATGAAGTGGATTAATGGCTTTGAAATCAAAGGGGTTTACTGAATTTGGGGATTCTCTGCCATCTTGCTTTGAACATGGCTGGGTCTTAAGTACTTTATTACTGTGAAAAGTTGTCACCAAAATCTTGCCATATGTGTAAGATATATCACTGTGCATGCTTTTTGGAAATTGGCTATTTCTTGACTTTTTCCTTTATGGAAGTAGGTTAGAGGGATTGTTTACCTAATGTATTAAGGGAAAGAGTCCTGAAATATTGTTTGTCTTGTGAAAATGGCAAACCTCAAAGAGATATGCATTTACAAAGATTGAGTCTAAGGAAGCCATTTGTCTTGTATTAAGGATATATACTGAATATAGCAGCACCCAGAAAAAAAAAAGGTGATTTTTTTTTAAACAATTTTCTTACAGTTTGAATAAAGATGTTCCCATCTTCGTATGTACCATGGCCTTTCCTACCATCCCTTGTCCGCTCCATGTCTTTGAACCTCGTTATCGCCTAATGATAAGAAGATGCATGGAAACTGGTACCAAGCAGTTTGGCATGTGCTTAGCTGATGAATTAAAAGGGTAAGGAGATGAGCTGAGAATGTCCTGTTGTTGCAGAGGCTGCTGTGAGCTAATGGAATACTGCAACACGGTATACTTGTCTCCCCAAACCACTGTGGTTCCTTCCAGTCCTGTATGAACCAATACTGAAGTTGCTTACTTCTTAGTTTTGAACTTTAAACATTCCTTTTTACAAGAAGATGTAATTTTATTACTCCCCTGTTGGATAATACCAAGAATGCAACTCATCCTGCTACTACAGGCTCCAAAAATAGCATTTAATTGGCTGTGTTTTTGGAAAGCTTGCAGGCCTGTTTGTTCCAGTGAAAACTGACTGTCTGCGTAAGGTTCCCCCTCTGTCTACTCAGTTTAAAAAGAAACAAAACAAAAATAAAACAAAACATCCAGACCTCCCATTGCTTTCCCCGAAAGAGTGGTATCATTTATTTTAATGAGACAAAGTATACACTTGGCTGAGAAGTCTGTTTTGCTGCTGGATGTTGAATTTGAATGTTTGTCTTTACTGCTGTGTTGCAATGTCTAAACTATCTACAGTGAGTGGGTTACATTGTCTTTCTATATGATCATACCTTTCATTCATATTTGTGAATTCTGACACTGATGTTTTTCCAGCTCCCTATGCAGAGACTGACTAGATTAAAGGTCCCTTACTACACAAAACTATTCTCTGATTCTACGAAAGCCTTCAAGTTTAAGTGTCTCACAGATAATGGGGTTTTGAGACCATACTCGTGGAAGAAGCATGAGGTGATCTTGAGAGGTTTGCCTTATGAAATGCAATAGTTGCTGACTTCAGAAGCTACATTGGCAGCCTGTAGAATGGATGACGAACATGGGAATTTTTAAGAACACATTAGGCATCCTCAGGAGCAGCATTTTTGTGTGTGATCATCACTGGAGCTGAGAAAGGGGGGCAGTCTTTACTGAGGCTTGGCAGCCTTTCCTTGTCCACTCCATGCTTCTTGCGGGGGGGGGGAAATTTTACTTTTCTCCCAGACTGGACAGTAAGATAGCTGTAAGAATACAGGAGATGCTGCAGCTTCCAGTCAGCTGTGGCTGTGCTGCAATGCTGTTTGGCATGCTGTCAGTACTGCACGCAGTGGACTTCAGACTCCAGCAGTAGCTGATGCTTCACAGTCCCTTTCAGGTCTGTTACCAATTTTCTGGAAGTGAATATTTGTGAGAGTGAGGATAGAATTACCCTAGAACTTCTGACATCCCTGCAGGCTTGTGGAAGGCCAAACTTATTTGGAATCAGGTATAATAATATGACAGAGGGCCAAGGCGTTATGATCCCCAAAACACAATAATTAGTTTGTTAGATAACATCATGAAGGATATTTTAAAATGTAACAGTATGGTTAGATTTCTATGTCCTGTCTGTTTTGAGTTACTAAAATAATCAAACTTTTTGAGCATGATGACTTAAATAAAACACTGAAGCACAGGAAACCTTAATCTGCAGACACCTGGCAGGCTGTTCCAGCTTCTTACACAAGTAAAGAAGTTCTTCTGTTTATTCAAAATTGTGAAATCAGCTTGGGAATACAAGAAGTGGGGAAACTTGTTTTGCCTCATCTGCTGAGACAAGGATACATACCTCCCTTTAAAAACACAGTGACAAAGCATGTTTAGTTCATTACCTTCCTCTGTTTTACTTCTCCATTTTAATTTATAATGGGTAAAAGAATATAAGCTCTTAATGTTGTCAGCACATTTTATGCCTGTCTCCAGGTGCTTTCTTGTCTCTCTGATTCAGGTCCCTGTCTACCCAAAAGTAACTCTTCTAATAAAAAAAAGAAAAAATCATCACTTCTATATTAATTTCTAAATCCAGTATGAATGTCACTAAAATCTTTAATTAAAAACAATTATGTAGCTATTTAAATAGTGTATAATGTAATACTGCTATAATAAACTAACAGACATACTTTTTAAAATCAGTCCTACTGGTAGAGCACCAGGACTTAGCTGTGTGGAGCTCTGCTCCTCCTGCTCTTCCTGATTTTTTCCTGTACACTGGCTGGGAAGAGAACAGTTGTTCACAGTGGTGAGCTTGCCCCCTACCTTTCCCAAACCCATGATTTCTGGTAGAGCAGAAACATGAGTCATTTCTTCATCACTCCATTGTAAGAAATGACCAAACCCTAGTAAAACAAGCATTTCTATGATAAAAAATTTATCAGACCCTGTAGGGTTTGGTATCTTGAAATGAGACTAGATATAGTGCTTTCTCCTGCTTAACAGTAGGCTGAGGTGTAGGCCTGCAAATGTATTCTGGTGAAGAGTCATTGGGCAATCAGCCTCTCTAGTGAAATCACTGCACCACAAAGGTAGAGTTAAGTAAGCTTGATAAAGTAAAAGTTAATTTCGTGCCTGTTCTCAGGGTGTGTTTTTTTTTTTTTTAAACACAGTACTACTTTAAATATAGTGGATATAAATGTGTTTTTGAAGAGGGTATTTTGAGTTTGATTTGACTTTTTTTTTTTTTAAAGGAAACAAATGCAAGAAAATACTTGTTATATAGAAAGCTTTTTCCTTCTAAAGCCTACAGTCTTCTGTTTACACCTTGGAGTAGGGGGATAGCCCTCACAGCCATGCATTTGTTTCTCACTTTCTGTACTTTCCTTACAGTATCTTTACCCATCTTGTTTTCTTTGCAAACCAGATGAATTTGCCACCAGCAGCTGGCAACTCCCAGCATGAAACGTGCTTCATTTAGTTTGCTGTCCCTTTCCAACCCTCCCACCCCACAAACCTGCCCTGAAAATGCTGCTGCCCAGGTCCTCTGAGGGAAGGCAGAAAGGGTGGGGGTTGTGTGGCTTATGTGAGTAAGCAGAAATGTATTGTCACCAAAGCAGAATCCTCTTTCAAGTAAGAAATGGTGAATTAGGCCCAGTATTTGTCCTGATGTCTATAAACACTTGTTGATGACTTCCACTTTTATGCCCTTCTGTCATTTCAGATTTGCAGATCATGGCTGTATATTAGAGATCAGGGACGTAAAGTTTTTTCCTGATGGACGCTCAGTTGTTGATACAGTTGGTGTCCGTCGTTTTAGGGTCTTAAGCCATGGCCAACGAGATGGATATAACACAGCAAACATCGAGTATCTTGAAGATAAAAAGGTGATCTATGGTGCAAAGTTATTCATACCCATGTATTGCTGGATTCACTTAAATAGCCTTTCCTTGTTGCATTTCAAGCTAGCTGTGCATTATTTTTAAGCCAGTATCATTACAAATACACTAAAACTCTGTTTTAAAAACCATGGAACAAACTTTGTATCTTCTTTCCCTTTCTTCCTTTCTTTCCCTTATAATTACCTCTGCTTAAAGTGTTACACTCCTTTCATGGATCTCAAAGTAGTTTCTGGGATGCTGAGGTCATGGTGTGTAGGTGAGGTCAGAGTAACATTTTAAAACTGGTACAGAATTTAAAGCCTTCTAAAAGCACATGCTCCTGTTGGTAGAGAACTGACTGTTCTCTTGCACTGAACAGACAGTTGGCACATTTCATATATCCTCCCAAGTTTTCATTTACAGAACAGGTCCTCAAATGTAGGAGTCTGCTCTTAAAATGGGTTCTTAGGGGGACGTAGTTAACCATGCCCTGTACAAGCATCCATTAGAGCTGACTGAGAGCAGAGAAAAATGCAGAGAGGAGAGTAGCTTTTAAAAACAAGTCCTCTTATCAAAGCTGCTTCAAGGCAAGTGTTTATGCTGAGTGTTGGCCAAAAGGTGAATTTTTGGCCATACTTTCTGGATCATCTTCAGACCATGTCTATAAAACCTTGGTGGCTGTTAACATTGAGCTTAGCACTAATCTCCTGCCGGTTGATGAAGTCAGTTGGGTCATACAGCTCTGGAGCACTCTCACAATTGAAGTGAAAGTCTGTAAAGCCGTAGCACTGCTTTTCTGACCTGTGCAGGGTGATACAGTTGTTTGCCAGGGCATGAAAGGTTGAGCTCATGGAGGTGTCCCTGCCTTTGAAAAGCTGGAATAGGCAGTCTGCTCAGAGTGAGGGCTGTGCTCTGTTTAAATCCTTAGTGAAGAGTAGTGGAACTCAGGTATACAGGCATTGTTTATAGATGGTGCCAGAGATCCACCTCTTCATAATTAGAATGAGATTTACCTTGTCTCACAGTGGAGGCTGGTGTCTGTTCAGTGCCCTACATCCATATGTCTGATGGTCAGGAATCTCAGTCCAAAGATACCTGTTTTATATGCTCGTAGATACTTACTTTCAGATGAGATTTATTGTTCTCTAGAACTGCTTTTCCTTGATTGTGAAGGGCATCTAGAGCAGGTAGATCAGATGCGTACCTGAGTGAGTGGTGTAGGTGAAATCACTCATGTGATGTGCACATGTTAAAGGGAAAAAAAAAAAACAAAAAACAACCCCAAACAAAAATCCAGAATCAAAACCCCCAAAAAACCCCACAAATCCCAATTTGTAGTGTTTTTTGCTTATGCTTTTTTTTTCCTCTAATAGCTAATAGTAGGCCTGTGCAACTAAGACACTGCTTCAATAAGGGTGTTTCTTCATGGCTGTTTCTGGTATTGGGAAAGCATCACTTTCCCTGCTTCCTACCTGCTTGGGTGTCTACCCTCCTCCTTCTCCTTGGTTGTCCTACCATGGCCTTACCACTTCTATAAAATAGTGCTGGTCTCTTAAGTGCTGTAGCCCCCTCGTCTCTGTGGTCGGTGGCAGTAGTGTTTGTTTTGTTTTGCCAGATGATGTACCACTGTCCAGAGGTCATTCTGTGACAGGGACTTGAGGCTGTGGGTTTGAGATGATAAATATGTCCCAGGATTAGAGAGCATACTCTGCTATTATGCCAGAATTTAGGAATGGATACTAGTGAGGCAGTTACTGCTCCAAGAAATACCACATCAGAACACCTAGGGGAGGGTAAAAAAACTCCAGCATCACAGGTTTGAAATCTGAGACTTAGGCACAGTTGGTTTACATAAAGGGCATTTGAGCAGCTGTAGTCACTGCATTATTTTGCTTCGTTTGCTTCTGGGGAAGCATATGGACTCTACGATATCAAACCTGTTTTGTTCCATCTCCCTTCTTTTAACAATAAGGTTGAAGGACCAGAATATGAAGAACTTGTCCGCCTTCATGATTCAGTCTATGATCAAGCTGTTGCCTGGTTCACTTCACTTAAAGACAATATGAAAGTGCAAATTCTCAATCATTTTGGATCTATGCCAGGAAAAGAATCAGAGCCACAGGTAATAAAACCTGTCTACTTATGCAGCCTTATTCTACACAGAATTTTAACACTAGACTATTTTCTGACACATTTTTGCTGTGGTTTATACATTCTGGACTTACTTACTCAATTTTGGTCTGTAGGCCTGAAGCATGGTAAACAATATACCTGTGTAATTTGGTAGCTGAAGAGATAAGTCTTAATGGTGTATACAGATAAAGAGGACACCTGCAATTAAGTGTTCAGTTGTTGCTTGTTTTGTGACTTTCTTAGCAAATGGAAGGCGACAAGGTGATGTTCTTCATGGGGCTGGGCTGGTGACTACATAACTGTGTTTTTCCATCCTTTTGCAGAGCAACCCCAGCGGTCCTGCCTGGTACTGGTGGCTCTTGGCAGTGTTGCCCCTGGAAAACAGAGCTCAGCTGGCTATACTGGCTATGACCTCCCTGAAGGATCGTCTGATCGCCATCAGGCGCGTATTGATATTTGTGACTCGCAAAAGACCCAGATAACATGGACTTTCGTTGTGAGTGGGCACCAAAAACATCTCATGACAGGTTGTTCTGGGGGAGGGCAAAAGGGGAGGGGTTGTTTTTTGTATTTTTTTAAGATTCCTTGAAAAAGGAACAGCCCTTTCTGACTGTGTCCTGCATCCATTGATTGCATTGGTTTGTTATCTGGGTATTCACCAAACCTTGCACACTCTCCTGTTGTCCCGGTGAAAACTGAGCCTCTGCAGAGCTGTGCTACATTTAGAATGTAGCTGATGGATGTGGATAATTGCTTCAAAGTACTTTGATAGAATTGATGTTTCTAGTCAAGAGAGTTAAATACTAGAGTAGTGCCATTGGCCTGCATGTGATCTGAATTTTCACTCAGTAAGAAGAGGAAACTGGACAGTGGATTGAAGAGGTGTTTCCTAGACTTTCTTGAAGGTAGTGAATAGAAGAGGAGTAATGCTGCCCAGCAGTATGCATGAGAACTACAACCAACAGTACTCTCTGTTAGTGAATTGGAAGGCAGTCTGTCATACACCCACATCTCTCTCTCTCTCTCTCTCTCTTCAGCAAATAACAGTCTGAGGAAAAAACTGGTTAAGCTGTTAGTAGTCAAGGCATCTGAGGATGTTTATCTGAAAGAATAATAGCTACTGAATAAGCACACTATTTGGTAGCCTTAGGTAATCCCTCCTTTGTGATTTACGTGTTGTAGCAGAATAAGTATATACAAAATATTTGGAAATATGTACTTTGGTTTCTTTGAAGAGAAAACCCAAAGTAATCCTAGCCAGTCTTACTGCTAAATTCAAACCAAGCCGCTCACTAAAGTATAATAAACACTGCTGTGAAATAATGATTTCACCCTGAGTATGAGGGAGGCATTCTGCAGTTTGCTCTCAACACCTGCTCTGTGAGTGGAACGAGCAAGGATGAAAGGTGGGGAGGTTTCCATCTCCTTCCTTCCTGCAGTGTCATGCTGACCTCCTGTTACGTTGGGGTGGTCTCTACTGAACGTGTTTCAAACCGAAAGTATTGTAGTTAAGTACCAGTTGCTGTATGTGACGGAAATCAGTCCACAGTAACACCATGAAAGGAGTCACAAACCGAACCTACAAAGGCACGTCTCAATGCAAGCTTCAGTCAGGTGTTAATCTTCATTTGTCTCTTTGATTATTTTTTTACGCATTGTTTTGTTAATATCTTACATTTATAGCTATTAATTGATAGCTTGTCAGTCAAATGATCACCATATGCTCAACTGCCAATGAAATAACTCAGTGTTACCAATTCAATTGGCATAGTTTCGTATAACTAGAACTGATACTACCAACAGGGAAAAAAAGTTGACTTGAACCTCCATGTGCTGCAAGCATAGCAAGACCAATGTAAAGACTTGTTCATGTGCAGAAGTCTGGTAAGAAGTGGCTGCTTACCTAAATGGTCAAAGTGCCTGGTTTCTTTGTTAGTTTTTTTCTCCTTATTTGTCAATGAAGAGGTATTTAAACTTTTTTTTTTTTTTCCACTTTGTACATGAATTCTGGAAGAAGACTGCATTAAAATGCAGTGATTGGGATATATTACCTGCTTTCTTTGGGTATTGTAGTTATAACCTCTGTGGTCTGGGAAACAAAAATTCCAGGTTTTTTTCCTTTCAGCAAATGGCTACCACAAATGGTTTCTGTAACATACCCTGAATGTACTGTAACTGCCTCTACCTTGAACACGCCTTTTCTATTTAAGTGGTTTGTAAGTGTATTCTCTGAATTGTGAAGTGTGTAATATACAACCAGTGATGTCATAACCTCTACAGTAGCCTTCTGCAAGTTCTGCTACCACCACCAAAATACTCAAAATTCAAGTTGAATGCATTTCCTCCAGGATTTGAAGACGATGAAGAGGAATTCACTGAAGTATAAGGAATTGTTGTATTTGTGGGGAGGAAATGTCAGAAGTCAGTAGGTCTTCAGCCAACTGTCAGCTGAGCTACTGAAGGATGATTCACAAACTAATTCTCGGACCAGAAGATGGACTGTATTTGATCTTGCAATCCTTTCTGTTTAGCTTCCTGTTCTTCCCATTCCTTTCCGTGCTGTGTATTTCTTCAAGACTCATTCATCTTGCTTGTTTGTGTGTCTGGCCTAGTTTTGAGTATTACTAGTTTAGCTGGAAGAGGATGTTGATGGTATTTGTATATTGCTGGTCCCTGATCTTATATGTGCTTAATTTTACAGATAGGAGTGCATTTAAGAAAAAAAAAATATCAAGGTGCTAGTTAGTGTCTTCTTGGCTTTGCCTCAGTAAATGTTAATGTTAATATTCTTCTCTGCAAAAGTGATTTTTTCCAGATATCTACTTTTGAGGTACTTCTGACAGAAAACCCTATGAAATGAGAGGTTGTTTACTGCTGTTTTGTAATATGTAAAGACATTCTACATGGGAAGTGACATTACTGTGTTCATGAAGGCCTGCATAGTTAATAGAGTGATTGTTATTGAAAAGAGAGCTGAACTGTAGAGGGATTTTTTTTTAGTCAAGGTTTAAAGAAGTTTGTGAATATTTCAGTGACTGATGTTTTGGATAAATGATAACAACAAAGGAATTGTCTGTGTATGGATGCAAGTAATAATATTAGCAGCCCAAAGCTGACATTTCTTCCAAAACATTGTATGCTGATCAAATAGCAAAGCTTTAATAAATAGATAAAATCACCACTGCCCTGTGGTACTTGCTTTTTAAGGGGAAGTACCAGTTTCATTTTTACCAAATCACCTCTGCCATATAATATCTGCAGCATCCAGTAGTACCTCATGGGAAAAGCTGTCTCGTTGCTCTCTAGAGGAAATGTCCACGTTACAGCCAGTCTGCACTTAGGTGTAACTTGTTGCCAAGGTACATGTGGAAGCATTGGAGCTGAGCTCCTGGAAGAGATAGACAGGATTTGTTGCCTTTCTAGCTCATTAAACTTTTCTTGCTTGCTGTCCAAGCAAGGATGCTGGGATATATGATGAGTCTTTTCACTGTGGTGAATGTGGCCCTTCTTTATACATCGTAAAGAGGCCAAAAAGAAAAAAAAAGAAAAAAAAAATCCCTCTACCTCTACACCTGTTGTTCACCTGTAAAATTTCAAGCTACAAAATGATATATATATTTTAACTTTTTTTGTCTTTCAGAAGCATACTAATTGTTTGCCACTGAGGCCTTTTATCTACTGTATTTTAATATGTTCATTTGATAGTCATCAAGATCTCTTTGTACTTCTAACCTGTAGAACTTGTCATGTTTCTTACTGCTCCTTTTTCCTTCTTCTCCAGTCCACTTTTAAATTGATAAATAGAAAGCTGTACACTCTATTCCTGTTACATTTTACACTAGTGGAACTGGTATTTTGGTAGCGCCTTAATTTTGCAGTTGTGAAATGATTGTATCAACTCTTATCTGGGGCTTCTGACCAGATGTAAATGAGTATGTTTAATGTAGATAAACTTGAAACCATTTTTTACTGTTTTAAAGCTAGAAATGAAATGGAGAGTGTACATATGTATAAATATAAATTATTAATCTGCACCTTTTTGTATCTAGTAAATACAGGAGAAGTTCATGTTCTAACCACATTTGGCACTTCTTGTTGCATAAACAAAGCCAAAACTTTTTTTAAAAATTGCAGTGTTCATTTCATGTGTATTTGCAATATTCATGGGAAATGTGTTTAATTTATGTGATATTTGGAATAAACCAGGTTGAATTTATGTGAGTGTGAGTTAATGGGGAAAGCTTTATCTCTGTGAAGACTTAAGAGCTAGAGCTGAGGTGAATACGGTCTGAAGGAAACAAGCCACTGATGTGCTGCTGTCAGAAAAGGGGTGATAGTTTGGTTTTCCTGACAGGAGCCCAAGGGCTGACAATTGGTCTGATGAGGCTTTAAGAAGCAGATGGCATCCCAGCAGCAGTGGTTAGATGTTGGGGTTCATAAGTTGCAGTTCTAGCCCCTGTGCAAGGAAGTGGGGAGGCTGCAGAGGTTGTGGCACAGTGGGGTTTGCTGGCACCCAGGGCAGACTGTGGCACTGGGTGTGAATGTGAGGGGTGGATTTGAAGGAGGGTTGGTGGGCCTCAAAATGAGGGAGACTGGAGGAGTTGAGGGGCCCTCAGCAAGGGCTGGGATGGAGGAGGTGGACCTTTCTCTTTCTCAGGAGTGGGTTGTGACAAAGATGGGGTATGATCATGAAGTGGACTTGTCCTTTTGTGGCTTATTGGATTATTTGGTGGCCCTAAGCATGACCTGAGGGCCCATAAACTAAGCTCTAAAAAAAAACATGATTACAGTGAAGAACAACAAATGCTATATTGTCTAAGCCCAGTGAAATAAAATAGCTTCAGGGTGCTATGAGAGAGGCAATGTTCCAGAACAAGGCAACTGGACATGGCTAGCACCATTGTACTGGGGAGTGGGACACTGGTCAGCAGCAAAACTCTGATGGTCCTCATGGGTTCCTTCCAGCTGAGGATATTCTCTTCTAAAACAAGACTTATGTGAAGGCAAAAGCCAAGCCAGATTGTGGAAAGTATATCACATTCCTCAGTTACATCTTCCTGCCAGCTAAGCTGTGGAGCAAAACTGCTGTGAAGGCATTGTTGTAAATAATAGTCTTTTTTTAAATTTCCTTTTGGTGTTGGAATGACTGACCCTTGTGTCTGTATTGATTGAATGTCTGAGCATATACAGGACTGCTCTTTAGGTTGCAAGTGTGTATGAGAATGTCTATAAATGCTGCTTGAGTTGCTTCGATATCCTGGAGAACAACTTTTTGAAACAACATTCCTTTCACTGAAGAAAGGAGGTTCCCTTTTTTATTAGCCAGATCCTTGTGCTCCTTGAGATTTGAGAAGAATAGAGGTAAAGTAACTGCATGAAGTTAGTAAATAGCTTTTTTCCCCCCCCTACTCTGCATGTCCTTTGCTAGTAGATAGCAAAGGGAAGGCAGCATCTCAAACTATTGCCTGCTTCCCTGAATAATGCCATTCTTAGAGTGTGGAAACCTTAGTGGTCTGTTGTCTTGCCTCTAATCGAATCAGGAATCAAAAATAATGCTGCTTAACTGTCCAACAGGACTTGCTTGGAGCTGTTACCTTTCGAATAATAGAGTAAGAAAGATCAGGAGAAAATCTGATACTATCAGGTGCAAAAAAGAATAAAAAGAAAGTGAATCCATGCCAGCACTTTGCTTAGTTCTTTAACGACTGTGCCTACTACTTGCAGCTAAAAGACAAGCATGTTTTCCATTGCATTTACGTTACATGGTAGGAACAAGTTGTTTCTAAATTGAGATGAATATCACTTGCTGAGAACTTTTATAGCTCTGTTCTGCCATATGTGGGGTTCTGCCTTGTCTGCTAAATTTGGGACTTCATGCATCCATGGAAGAAATGTCTTCACTTGTAAATGTTGCTTACGTTTTTTCTCATAAGCATATGCTGCTCTTTTTGTGCAACAGCCATATTGGAGCCCTGCTCCTGGGAGGACCTGGATTTTGAACACAGAAGCTTTTGTTGGGGTCAGGCTAGTTAACCTCACCATAGGCAAAGTTATAGAAACAGCTCTGGTCCCCTTTTGTCTACTCAATGTGCTCTAGAGGCAGAGCTGGAACTTTTGAAGTTGTAGACCTTTGTCCTTGCAAACCTGAGGATGGCATGTTGAGAATGGTATACAGCAAGTGACCAAGAGGAGAATCTGTCTTTACCATAGCAAAAGCCAAAGGGAGGCACCTCCCTGTAGCCCCTCCAGCCCATCAGCCTATTCCTGTTCACAACATCATAAAATTCTCAGTTCAGCTCACAAAGCCCTCAGGAGACCTACTACCCATTATCCTGAATCTTGCCTGTGATTCCCTGCTTCTTCTCATCACAACATTTTGTTCTTCCCTTGGTGACCCACTGGCTTTCTTTTCAAGGGAGAAAAGAGAGGAAAGATAAATAAAATCCCAGGAAGGTTTTGCTGACTGGTGGCTCCAGTTGTCAGTTTTTTGGCCAAAGCTATAGTAAGAGAGCAGGTTCACGCTGCAAGGCTTCTTAAATCAGAATTGATCTAGCAGAGAAAGGAAGATGCTTCTAAAGCAGGAGGGAGGAAATATAGTGTCCATCATCATAAGTGGAGAGATCTCCAAATTCAATCTTGGCCCTGCCTTGGAGTGAGTACCTCATGTTTTCTGCTATTGGCTGGGATACCTCACAGTGCTGGCTGGTTGCCCTTGCTGGCTAAGAGAACACAGACTTGATGTGGTTAAGTAGTCACGGTATCAGAAAATTCCTAACTGCTGTGTGCCAGCTTTATTTTCTTTTATCTGAAATTATTCAGCTTGGGCAGAAGGAAAATCATCAGATGCCAGAATGGAAGTCCACCTAGCAAGGGCCTAACACCAATGTGATTTCCCTCTGTATTCAGGGAAGATCTATCACCATGAGGCTGCATGGAGATCTGAACCTGTCACCAACATGTCTTTCATCAGTTCCAGTTAAACCACAGTGATGATGTGTGTTACAGAGAACAGGTCTTATATCGAGAGGTGTACCAATCTGCCACTTAGGTACATGTCACCAGAGCCTAAGCTGCATCAGGGGCATTGCTAAAGGGTGACTTCATTCCTGATACCTTCATGCATCTGCCTGGAGCCCTGCCCATACTTAGAGAAACACTGTGGAAAGGACATTGTTGTCTACAGGCACGTCAAGAGGCGCTTCTTCATGTGGAGCATGCTCAGATCAACTTTTTAGGTAAATCTGTGAAGCCTTATGTTGTAGACCCAAAGTTAATTTGCCGGTGGAAACCAAGATTCAACTAGATATATATTCAAAGAAAACAGAAGATACTTACCCAGAACTAGAAGTGACTCTGTAATTTCCCCTTCCTCCTGGTTCTTTCTTTCCCTGGTCTCTACTGGAGGTAGAGGGCAGGAGGGCACATGAAGGAACATCCAAAGCTCAGTGCCTGAGCTCTGTGGTGGGACCACAGTAAATTCCAGAGGAAAGGTGAACGCTGAAATACCCAGCCTGGTTTGCTTAAGGTGCAGCATTCCCAAACTTTATGTTTATTTGTGGAAAAAACTGTTTGGAAGATAGGAAGTTATTTTAGGGTAAATTTTTATTCTCCCTTGCTCGCTGTTCTTATGCATCGACTCTGCCCCTACACCAAGTTTACCTGCAAAGCTCAAGATTAAGCTTATTTGCACCCAGGCAGAGTAAATGCTCCATAAGAATTGGATCAATTTGCAAGTAGGCTAATGTTCTTTCTCAAGAGTGAATGCTAGCAGACACTTGAACAAGAAATTCTTGAATGGGAAAAATTAAAAGAATCTGGCAAGATGTTTCTCCCAAGTCCCTCAATCTGATTCTTCTACACATCCTGGAAAACTTTTTATTTTCCAAATTTATATATAGAATTTGAGGGAGGCTCTGAATCTGAGCAAGTAATGTGGCGTAATCATGTCATTCATAAAAAACAATTGATTCCTTCTATAATTCTGCAATATTGTGACTTCAGTACCACAGTGTATCAATTCCTCAGATTAATTGTGCATAAAGCTCTTCCATTTTTCCTCATTTTTGCATTGTTTTGTCTAGACTCAGAGCTTCTGTTATTTCTGGTATGTTTTGTGTTGCTTAGAGAGGCCCAAATCGATCACACTTTCCTAAATAAAGGAACTGTATAAAAAAATGTGCCTCCTACTCTTCACACACTGAAGTGTTTTGTTTGCTGTGTAGACAGCTACAAGGTTGTGTTCAGAACTCTTTATCTGAATCACGAGCTTCTCATTTCACAGAGGTGCCTCCTTACCAGATGGTGCTTTCAAGAAAGCAATTTTCTTGTTTATTTTGCACCAATTGATTCTGCCTGAATGCTGGCTTTGGCCAGTTATTTTCAAATATTTTCAGTATGTACTAATTCTACGGTGCAGAGGCTTCTTCATTTTATTGTTGAGAGTAGTAAGAAGTAGTTCCTCTTGGAGAATGTGTTCTAAAGCATCGGTAAGGGTTGATGTTCTTCCAGTTGTAAGACAGCCTGGGTTTACATCCTTTTCTTAGCAGCAGTATCTGTTCCCCTCTAAACAGACGGCTGCTGATTGCAGTTTGCCTTTTGCTCAGCACTCTGTTTCTTCTGCGTCTGGTGCTGGAAAATCTCCTGGCACAGAGGAGTTAAATATTTCTGAGCTCTCACTTGAGTCATCTGTCCCCGAGTGGGGAGTGGGTTTGCTTGCAAGCACGTTCTGCTTTGGAGCTGGTCCTGGAACGGGAGCGCGGAGCTCACGTCCCACATGCACGGCGCGGGCAGGAGCCAAGGCACTGCAAATCCAAACACAGCAGCGGGGATGGGGAGCTCAGCCCTCGGGAAGGAGTAGCCAGTGGCACTGTTGTTTTGCCTCCGTTCATTCCAGGTGGAGGAAGGAATACAGGAAAATCAGGGATGGTTTCGGCTCTGCCTCTGTTCGTAAGCTGCATGTGAGATGTTTTCTGGCACAGGCACTGCTTGGCACAGAAGAGATGTGTGTGGCCGCAGTGTGAAATCCTCTTTCCCGCCCAAATACACAGCTTCACACAAACTACCTGTTGGGAATGGTTCCTGAATTGTACAAATTTGAGGAGCTGGGGAGGAAGCTGGTGTAACATTATCCGGAGTCCACAGAAATACTAGTACTTAATTTCTCAGCCTCTAGCACTGAAAAACTTCCTAAGCTAGATGTGATGTCTGTGTGTTTCA